TGACCTGTATACAGATTTCTCAGGAAGCAGGTAAGGTGGTCTGATATTCCCCTCTCTTTAAGAATTTTCCACAGTTTGTGTTGATCCACACAGTCAAAGGCTTTATCATAGTTAATGAAACAGAAGTAGATGTTTTTCTGGAATTCTTTTGCTTTTTCTATGATCCAACAGGTGTTGGCAATTTAATAGTTACAGAATCACAGAAGTAATAGATGATCATCAGTTTTCACAATCGATATCCAGACAAAAAATAAAAGATGATTACAACTGCAAACCATAATGGAAACATGATTAATCTAACAATATAAAATAATTACATACAATTTTGGGGGGTCAAGCAGAGTGATGTGGTAAGTGGAAGTGTATACCTGGACATGTTTTCATCTGCTCAGCCAGTCTATGTCTTTTGGTTGGTGCATTTAATCCATTTACACTTAAGATAATTATCGATATGTATGATCTTATTACCATTTTTCTAATTGTTTTGGGTGCATTTTCTCTAGGTAGGGCTTCTCCTTCTCTTTTTCCTGCCTAAAGAAGTTCCTTTACCATTTGTTGTATAGCTGGTTTGGTGGTGCTGAATTCTCTTAACTTTGGTTGTCTGGAAAGCATTTGACTTCATCATATCTGAAGGAGAGTCTTGCTGGATAGAGTATTCCTGGTTATAGTTTCTTCTCTTTCATCACTCTAAATACGTCATGCCACTTCCTGCTGGCTAGTTGAGTTTCTGTTGAGAAATCAGCTGATAGCCTGATGGGAGTTCCCTTGTATGTTATTTGCTGTTTTTCCCTGGTTGCTTTTCATATTTTATCTCGGTCTTGAATTTTTGCCAATTTGATTCCCATGTGTCTCATTGTGTTCCTCCTTGGGTTTATCCTGCCTGGAACTCAATGTACTTCTTAGACTTGGTTGACTGTTTCCTTTCCCTTGTTAGGGAAGTTTTCAGCTATTATCTTTTCAAATATTTTCACAGGTCATTTATCTCTATCTTCTCCTTCTGGGACCCCTATAATGCAAATGTTCATGCGTTTAATGTCCCAGAGGTCTCTTAGGCTGCCTGCATTTCTTTTCATTCTTTCTTCTATATTCTGTTCTATGGCGGTGATTTCTACCGTTCTGTCCCCCAGGTCATTTATCTGTGTTTCTGCCTCAGCTATTCTGTTATGGATTCCTTCTAGGGTATTATTCATCTCTGCTTCTTTGTTCTTTAGTTCTTGTAGATCTTTGGTAAACATTTCTTGTATCTTCTCAATCTCTGCCTCCATTCTTTTCCTGAGATCCTGAATCATATTCACTATCATTATTCTGAACACTTTTTGTGGAATGTTGCCTACATCCACATCATTAAGCTGTTTTTTCTGGGGGTTTATCCTGTCCCTTCATCTGGGATGTAACTTTCTGCTTTTTCATGCTGATTAACTTTCTGTAGTGTGGTTTTGCTTTAGTTACTGTGGGATTTTGTTTCTTCTTGCTTCTTCTGTCTGTCCTCTGATGGAAGAGGATAAGAGGCTTGTGTAAGCTTCCTGGTGGGAGGGACTGGTGGTGGGAAAACCTGGGTCATGCTCTGGTGGGCAGGGCCTTACTCAATCAAGCTTTAATCTAATTATCTGCTGATGGACAGGGTTGCACTTCCTCTCTGGTAGTTTTTTGGCTGAGGTGACCCAACCCTCATGTCTATGGGTTATATGGTCAGGTTAATCTCCAAGAGGGTTTACACCAAAGGAGACATTTCCAGATAGCCAATGACAGTCCCCTCTGCCCCTGTGATGAGCCCCTGCTGACCCACACCTCTACAAGATATCCTCCAACACTAGCAGGTAGTTTTGGTTCAGTTTCCTGTGGAGTCACAGCTCTTTTCCTTTGAGTCTTGGTGTATGCAAGGTTTTGTTTGTGCCCTCCAAGAGTAGAGTCTCTGTTTCCCCCAGTTCTGTGGAAGTCTTATAATCAAATCCCACTAGCCCTCCCCAGTCAGAGTCCCTGAGGATTCCCAGTTCCTTTGTTGGGCCCCCAAGCTAGAAGCCTGACGTGCAGTTCCAAACCTTCACAACAGTGGGAGTACTTCTTCTGTATTATCATTCTCCAGTTTGTGGGTTATCCACCCCGTGGGTACGGGATTTGATTTTATCATGATTGTGCCCCTTCTACCATCTCCTGCAGTTTTTTCTTTGTCTTTGGGTGTAGTGTATCTTTCTTTGGTAGATTTCAGAGTCCTCCTGTCTGTGGTTGTTCAACAGTTAGTTGTGATTTTGCTGCTTTTGCAGGAGATGAGCAGAAGCTTATACTCCTCCATCTTGAATCAGAAGCCCTGGGCACGCTCCCTTTCACTTGTAGGTCTCTTTTTGGTTGTGACTCACAAAGGCCAAGTCCACTTTGGGTTTGATTCCAGGTCTGTCCCTTCAATTTTTCTGCCTGTTTGCTAGTTATGACCCTCTTCTCAATCTGGTTAAGTATTTATGTCAAGTATTTTTCTTCTGAAAACAGAATTTCTGTCTCTAATACTAAGTTCAACAGTGATTCCTTGCCTGCTTTCTTAGTCACTAAGATGTATCCAGTTCTTTGCAACCCCATGGACTGTATCCTGCCAGGCTCCTCTGTCCGCGGATTTCCCAGGCAAAAATACTGGAATGGGTTGCCATACCCAGGGAGTCTTCCTGACCCTGGGTCAAACCTGACTTGCTTGCATCTCCTGCATTGGAAACCAGATTCTTTACCACTCGCCACCATTCCCCAAAAACAGAAACTAGTTTTGAATAAAGATTTCTCCAAAGATAAGTAAATGACAATAAGTGCATGAAAAGGTGTTCAACATCATTAGTCATTAGGAAATACAAGTCAAAACCCACAAAAGGACATGTCACTTCATACTCATCCACTTAAATGATTAAAGGAAATAAAGACTGACAATTAAAAAATGAAAAGTTATGGAAAAATTAGAACCCTCATATGTTGCTTGTTGAAATGAAATTAGTGTAACCACTTGTAGAAAACAGTTTCTCAAAAGTTTTGATATGTAGGTACCACGTGACCCAGCAATTCCACTCTTAGGTATATATCCCAAACATATAAAAAGACATATCCACACAAAAAATTACATCAATGTTCATTGCAGCATTATTCAGAATACGCAAAACCTGAGAATGACATAAATGTCCATCAACAGATGAAGGTATACCAAAATGTAGCATAGCCACATAATAGAATATTATCCAGCTATGACAAAAGACTAAAAATGAAATTTCAGCCATAAAACCATGTTGCAACATGAATGAACCTTGAAAACATTAAGTGAAAGAATCTAGTCACAGAAAACCACGTACTATATGATTCCATTTATGTGAGTATCCTGAACAGGCAGATCCATAGTGACAGAAATTTGTTAATGGTACCCTGGGGCTAGGATCAAGGCTGGGACGCATGGAAGTGGGAATGAGGATTTCCTCATGCTAATGTGAATGCAGTTTCTTTTTGAGGAGTTGAAAGTGTTCTGAAGTCAGACTGTGGTGACGGTTGCACATCTCTGTGACTATCCAGAGATCACTGAACTGTACAGTTTTAATGGATACATTTCATTGGATGTGAAATCATATCTCAATAAAACTGTATTTTAAAAAAAAGCAGTTGGATGAGTTCTACAGCAGATAAAAAATTAAATTGAATAATGCAAGAAAGGCTCTTAAAACTACCCTATGTTCAGAGGACTCCCAAAAACTAACATATTTACAGACGTCCCTGCTTCAACCCTGTTTATCTCAGGAACATCTACTCATTGGTCTTGTTTCTACTAAAACATGGTTTCTTTGGGAATCTTCCTTAACCTTTCTACTTCCTTAGACCCAAAACTGAGCATTACATTCAAGGATACATGGTCATAACCTCCCTTTTTTATCATTAAATTGTGTATCTCCTGCCAATATGGGATTTAAGAACATGTATAGCCTCTTCACCACTGTATTGTCAGAGACAATCACAGAACCTATCAAAAAAGAGACACTCAATACTTATTGAGTAATGAGTGAATTATATAATTATTATAGATTCTCTAAGGATAAATGTATTTTTTAAATTTTTTAAGGGAGTCACTTTTTAAATATCTGATTTTAGTTGGAGGATAATTGCTTTGCAGTGTCCTGTTTGTTTCTGCCATACAACAATGTGAATCATCCATAAATATGCATATATTTCCCCCTCTTGATACTCCCTCCCATCCACCCCGATCCCACGCCTCTAGGTTGTCACAGGTCTGACACAAGGTTGAGCTCCCTGTGTTATGCAACAACTTCCCACTAACTATTTTACACTTGGTAATGTATATGTTTCAATGCTGCTCTCTTGATTCAACCCACATTCTCCCCTCATTGTATCCACAAGTCTGTTCTCTATGTCTGTGTCTCTATTTCCGGTCTACAGATAAATTCACCAGTACCATTTTTATAGACTCCATATATATGCACTAATATGCAATACAAATTCACTTTAAAATTAATTTTCATCAGAATATAGTTGATTTACAATGTTGTGTTAGTTTTTGCTTTACAGCAAAGTAAATCAATTATCCATATACATATATTCAGTCCCTTTTCAGATTCTTTTTGCATATAGGTCATTTCAAAATATTGAGTACAGTTCCCTGAGCTCTATAGTAGGTCCTTATTAGTTACATGTTTCAAATATAGTAGCATGTATATGTCAATCCCAGTCACCCAACTTATCCCCCTTCCCCCCCTTGGTAACTATAAGCTTGTTTTCTATATCCGTGACTTTATTTCTGTTTTGTAAACAGGCTCATTTATACACTTTTTTTTAAGATACTACATATAAGCAGTATTATATGATATTTGCCTTTCTCTATCTGACTGACTTCACTCAGTATGACAATCTCTAGGTCCATCCATGTCACTGCCAATGGCATTATTTTGTTCTTTCTGACTAATATTCCATTGTAAATATGTACCACATCTTCTTGACCACAATGCATTTTTTATTCTCTTCCTTCTCAGTTGCTGGCTCCACTCAGAAAAGGGATTTAAATGGGGTTTCCTTGGACCAGTCTGTGCCATCTTCTCTGTAAGTGATGACATCAAAACATCGTTAATACTCAGCTAAGCGTCATTTAAAGAGGAGAACTAAAAGTGGGGGGCATGGGTTGGTGACAGAGGTGACAAGAACAGGTGTGTTCCTGGGTTATCATGGGTTTTGTTGCATTTTCTGAGACCATTCTTAAAATTTAACACACTAATACGGTTAAAAATAGAAACTACCTAAGTGCAGAAGTGATGTTGGACAGACTGGACAATGGACCGAAATTTTATTCAATAACTCTTTTCTGGTTACCTGAAGGTCAATTTAGCTTTCTTTCTGATGACCCTTTGGATTTTGAAAAGCAAACTTTGTTCCCTCAACAGTGAGGTGTCTACCCTCCGGAACACGAGGTAAGATGGAGAAGAGACTGACAACTCTGCAGATGTGTGGTCACAAGAGTGAAGGCATGTGCCTGAACAGTTCCTTGTGTCCATCCTCAGGTTTTCTAAGGAAACCCAGAGTAAAATGGATGGAAGTGTCCTAAGGCAGCAAGTTCAGACCCAGTGGTGTTTTCTGTTCATCTCTAATTCCAGTTTGTGAACTTGCGACTCCCTCAGCAACATTCTCTGGACTTTGTCAGTAGTCTTATGACAAATGTGCAGAGAACAATTATGTTCCCATGAAGCACTTAGAGGAATCTGTGACCACATCCACAGTCTAGTACACTTTCACACCCCACATTTCAAGCTCATTCTCACCTCTCTCCCACTCCTCTTCCTGGTAAAAATCCCAGTGAACATTAAATCTTCTAGGAGGTTTAGGCAGCCCTTTGTTCCAGAAAATCTTGTGCATATATGATGCTCTTTCTTTTGCATTTCTACCATTATCTTTTCCAAATTACACATCTTACTGTTTTGTTGTTTTAGTCATTTGAGTAGATCATGAGCTTTATGAAACTAGAAATCTCACCTTTGTGATATTTAATGCCCAGGACACAACACAGAGCATGATGCATGGTACTTCCTCAGGAACATTGGTTGAATGAAATTAGATACCTCCATGGAGGATCATAAAGCTTTTGCAACTTATGACATGTCGCTTCCCTTTCCATCCAAATCAAAATGTCTTTCTAGACCTCAGTGGCGTTTCTATTATGGAGCATCATTGACAGCAAAGAATAAAACCAATCACAACTCAGTCTGAGAAGTCATTAGCAACAGGGAAAGGAAGGAGCATCCACGGGTGAAGATAAGAGTGGCTCTGGTTGTATCAAGAACTTACTTTCTCCTTCTACCAGGATGCTGACATTTAAAGCCACAGCTCAGCTCTTCATCTTGGGATGCACGTGGAGTCTGGGAATCTTGCAGGTGGGACCGGCTGCCCACGTCATATCCTATCTCTTCACCATCATCAACAGCCTGCAGGGTGTCTTCATCTTCCTGGTGCACTGCCTCCTCAGCCAACAGGTACCACTGTCTTGACTCCCTCTCAGGACTCGTCCCATCCTCACTCCTCTCAGGTGGGCTGACTCAGAGCATGCTTTGCAGGTGCGTGAGCAATACAGGAAATGGTTGAAAAGGATCAAGAAAACCAAAGCCAAATCTGAGAAGTTCACGCTCTCCAGCAGGACTATGTCTGATGGCTGCAAACACAGTGAGGTAAGATCATGAACTGCCCCCAGAGCACTTCACTAACCAATTCATTGATCAGCACATGCCTAGCACACTGGACAACTGCGTATGAGCTGTTGACGTCTTAGGATGGCTTACCCTTTGTTTACTGTTTGACTCATTCTCAAGTGGCATTGGTGGTGAAGAATCCACCTGTCAATGCAGGAGATGCCAGATACCGGGGTTTGAACCCTGGGTCAGGAAGAACCCCTAGGTAGAAAATGGCAATGTACTCCAATATTCTTGCTTGGAAAATTCCATGGACAAAGGAGCCTGGCAGGTACAGACTATTGGGTTGCACACAATCGGACACCACTGAGCATGTGTGAATACACACACACACACACACACACATACTCACAGTAACCATTAGCAGTGGTCTCAGTTTGTTTACAAAATGTATTTTACGTGCATTCCTTAGGGAACTGTGTCCATCTTGACTCATATCAGTATTCTTATTGAACACTTACTACATGCCATGCATGCTTAACTAAATAGCTACTATCAGTGATCTGAAATGGTGAGGCTCATTCTATTCAGAGTCACATTATCCTACCATTTTGCTGTACACCTGTCTCTACATAACACTCAGCAGCACCCCTCAAAAATGCAGGAAATGGGGGGAGATTGTGTACTTATCTGTGCACCAAAGAGAAAGGTGTTAGCTGGAGCTTTAGACTGTCTTAACCGGACCGCCTGATATTTTGGGCACTCTCTGTCCTGTGCTGCGCTGTGGTCAGCTGCTTCAGTCGTGTCTGACTTCGTGCTATCCTTGCACTGTAGCACGCCAGGATCCTCTGTCCATGGGATTCTCCAGCAAGAATACTGGAGTGGGTTGCCATGCACCCCTCCAGGGGATCTTCCCAACCCAGGGATTGAATGCAGGTCTCCTGCACTGTAGGCAGATTCTTTATCCTTGGGACACTGGGGAAGCCCCTTGGTACCCTCTACCCACCACAAAACCGAAAAAGATAAGCAGTAGTGACAATGATGGCAGTGATGACCAAGAAACAACACGTACTGGTTTAGACTTACAAACTTATTTTCCTTATATTTTCTGACCTCTTCCATCTTCTATTTAATGCCTTCAATCTTCCATCTCACTGAAAGGAAACTACTATATGCCTGGAAGTCCTTCTGCATTTCTCACATTACCTGTCCCCCCAACCTCCATAAGGACTGATTCCACCACTGAATCTTCTATTTCTCCCTTTCTCAACAAATGTTCTCAGCACTTATTTCACAAAGAAAATCAACATTGTCATGATGATACTTTGTGAACTCTACACCATAACAAATATCAGCATGCATCCTCTTGTATCATTGAGACAATGATCCTTCTCCTCTCTGAAAACAATTATTCCACCTATGATTTTAATCCCACTATCAGTGCTTATCAATTTTCCTTACATTCTTTTTCACACACATTCTCTCATTCTCTCTTCCCCTTACCCTTCTTCCCTCACTCTTTCCTTTCATTTTCAACAGTATTTTCCCCATAGCCATGGATGCATGTTTGGTTCTCTTCTGTCTTACAAACATGTACTACTTGGCCATCTTCTAGCTACCAGCCAAAAGTTGACATTTCCATCTTTATTTCCCTGCCTTAAACTCATGCCTTCAGCCCATGCAAATTATAGTTTCTTTCCCCTGTATTTCACCAAAACAAATATCTCTTACATTTACAATGATCTCCATCTCCCAGAAAGTCTCAGAATTTCTGGTCATTCTCCACTGTTTTCTCATAAAACACTCCATCCTTATCCTCACTAGATTCTACTTCTACATTCCTCTTCGTCTTTCTTCTGTTCTCTCTTGCTATTCTCTCTGTCTCCTTTGTAGTTCCCTACAAGGGATTGGTTCCAGAACAACTTTAATTCCTCTTTTATTCTTTTCTCCTAGACAACAATGTTTAGTCCTTAGATTCAGTCACAATAGCTGCAAATGATGGCCATTAGTTTCTTTATCTCTGACTTCTCCTCTGAAATCTAAAGGAGTATGGAGTATTTGACATTTTTGGTATCTCAAAGTCATCTTCAACTCAGCTTTCCAATTTAATGCTTACAATCTTTACCCTAATCCAGTTCTTTCCCATGGTGTCCTTCTCAATCTTCATGATACCACATTCATCCTGTGGCACAAGTTTGGATCCTGAAAGGTACTCTCAACAGTTATCTTATTATTATCACAACCTACCACCCTTGATCTTTTTGTTCTTATCTTTTCAATATGTCCACAATCTCACCTGCTATCTCAACTTCCATCACCTCCTCCTTAGCCAGGCTGCCAGCTTGCCTAAACACCAGCTATGCTCACCTAACTGACTATTCTTTCTATCCTTGTCACCTCCCAAAACATCCTTTACCCAGAAATCACAAAGATCTTTTCAAAACACAAATCATTGCACTCTTTGATAAACCTATTACATATAGAGTCAAAACCAAGAGCCATACATCAGTGAGAATTTGTTTGATTCATCTCCTGCTTTCCTCTCCAGCTTCATATACCATGTACTCACCATTATTCCAGCCACATCAAATTTCTTTCCGTTTTGAAAATTCAATGTGCCTCTTTGGGACAAAGGCTTTGCACATAGTCCTTCTCTTAAAAATGACCTTTTTTATCCCTTGACTCAAAACTATATATGCCTTCAGACATATCTCTATATGTCAATTCCTCCATGAAGCCTGTACCTGCTCAGATTAGATCAGATTCCTCCATGTTTCTCTCCAATATCCCCTAGAGAGTTTTGTCAGAGTCATTTTACTCTTGGTTTTCTCTGTTTGATTAATATTTGTTTCCTTCTAGATTTAGTGTCTGCAGGCACCGTTTTGCTTCTCCTGTCTGTTATATCTTCAACACTTCACACAGTGCCAGACATGTAGAAATACTCAATACATAATTGCTACGTGACTGGTTAAGTTAATCTGCAATGGCAAGAAGGGGCAGAAACTGTCTTATTCATCAATCTCTCTCTCCAGTGTTTAACATTTTCCAAATGATCAGCAATTATTTACTAAACAAAGATGAATGAATGAATGAACTCCCTAATCATGAAGGGGATAAAATATCCAAAAAAATTATTAATTCTTTTATGGTGCCTCTTTCCTTTGGAAATATCAAGATAATTCTCTGCCCTACTATATTTTTTTAATTATTACCCATCCTGTCTACCAATTAACACCCAAGTATTTCCTTATGATCCCAGAGCATTGTGTAGATCTTAGTTCCCAGGCTGAAACAAATCTGGAATGAAATATTAGCTCAACCAAGTGTTTGCTGTGTAAGCTTGGTCAAATTGCTTTTCAAGCTGTGAAACAATTTAAGCCTTCAGTTGCCTCATTTGTCTCCTCCCTCCAAATAAAGGCCATTTCCTTAGATTAACTCAGTCAGGACTAACCATGTGCAAAGGGAACTTTGCAGACTCTAAGTGAGTCAAGTCTTGGTGGGAGGGGCTGAACATCCTCCTTACACTAAATTCTGATTCAGCCAAGGTTGCAGAGTATAACCTAGCAGGAGTTAATGTGGCTTCCCTCATACAACTGATGCTGTCCACATAGGGAGGACCCCACAGACCTGAGAGGTTCAGTGCCTTGCTCTACCACAGCCCTGTCCCACTCATGGATCACACTCATTCAGGCAGAACAGAACAAATAACCCATGAGTGTCTGCTTCAGGGAATGCTAACTCTCCATGTTCTTGAGTCAACTCACCCTCAGCAAGGGTATAACCCTGTCCCTCGGAGACCCAGAAGAGGATCTGAGCTTCCCTCACTTCAGAACCCAAGAAAACTTGCCTTCCATAGTGTAGTTTCCTACTGTTGCTGTAAAAGGTTACCACACACTTGCTGCTAAAAACAAACAAATTTATCTTACAGATCTAGAAGTCAAAAGTTCAAATGGATCTTATGGAACTAAAATCAAAATGTCTGTATCCCTTCTGGAAACATTAGGGAAATATGCATTTATTCACCTTTTTTTAACTTCCTGGTGCCGCCTGCATTCCATGGTTAGTGGCCTCGTGATTCACTCAATCTTCAAAGTCTGTTTAGTGTAGCTTTTCAGATCAATCAGCTCACCTCTATCATCCTCCTTCTTCCTCTTCTTCTTCTCCTCCTCCTTCATCTCTCTCTCTCTCTCTCTCTCTTCCTCACCTCCATCATTATATCTTTCCCCGCCTTTTAGTCTCTTACTTCTCTCTCTCCTTTATGAAGACCCTGATCATTACATTGGCTCATCAGGGTAATCCAGGATAAATTTTCCATCTCAAGATCATAAAAATTCATTTTCCCATGTAAGCTAATATATTTGCAGCTTCCAGAGTTAAGATGTTGGCATCTTTGTGGGATCATTTTTCTGCTAGCACATCTATTGCACACAGGTTTCATTTATAGTTCAGTTCAGTTCAGCCGCTCAGTCGTGTCCAACTCTTTACAACACCATGAACTACAGCACGCCAAGCCTCCCTGTCCATACCAACTCTTGGAGTTTACTCAAACTCATCTCCACTGAGTCAGTGATGCCATCCAACCATCTCATCCTTTGTCGTCCCCTTCTCCTCCTGCCTTCAATCTTTCCCAGCATCAGGGTCTTTTCAAATGAGTCAGCTCTTTGCATCAGGCGGCCAAAATATTGGAGTTCCACCTTCAACATCAGTCCCTCCAATGAACACTCAGGACTGATCTCCTTTAGGATGGACTGGCTGGAACTCCTTGCAGTCCAAGAGACTCTCAAGAGTCTTCTCCAAAAGCATCAATTCTTTGGTGCTCAGCTTTCTTCACAGTCCAACTCTCACATCTATACATGACTACTGGAAAAGCCATAGCCTTGACTAGATGGACCTTTGTTGGCAAAGTAATGCCTCTGCTTTTTAATATGCTGTCTAGGTTGGTCATAACTTTCCTTCCAAGGAGTAAGCATCTTTTAATTTCATGATTTATAGTAGAAACACTGAAATCTTCTTCATATTATATATATTTGAATAAATAT